ACTGTTACGGGTCTACGCGTCTTCCTTCCCGTTTGGCGCGTGGAAATATCGGTCTATATTTAAATTGGCGGAATCGTGTATTGATGGAAAGGGGGAAAGGTCGATTTAGGTGAAAACTGTTCCCGACAAATACTGTTACGTGAACATGGGTTTCATCCACGTTTTTAATATACGGGACACGTTGTGTGTGATATTGCGGCGCATTACGTTCTACCGCAACCCGCCAAACGAAAAGCAAAACGTATCACGTACGGTGTGACAGCGCTCTAAAACTGCGCACACGTCGTGTGAATATAACCGTAGAAACGGTGAGTTTTCATAATAGTATTATTATATGTACACTCGTATTATGTGTAAACCAATAGACGATAGGGTAGGTTGGGGTGGGTACCGTCTAAACAACAATTCCCGGGTTCCCGAAACCCGAAGCCGGATATATCATAAATATTATTTTGAAACGAGTTTTAAAGTTGTTTTTTTTTTTTATTTAATAATCGACAATAAGTGAATACTTTAAAGGGCTTCCCCGAGCAGGTTTCGCGGTGAATACTACACCACGTCCTCTACGCGCATCACACGCGACTCAAATATTTAATGTCGAAAACGCGCGTACGGATTTCGCGGTTCAAATTCTGCCATGTACGAACGAGTGTACAGGGCGATTATTTTAACACGCGGCGGCCGTCTGTACAAATACCGAGGAAATTTGCTACGATCGAATCGATTCGATCGAGAGGGAGAAAAAAAAAATCACAATATAATCACGTTAATAATTTATTATACTCTACTGGACACGCGGGGATACTCGGACGGAAACTGTAATCAATCGTACACTGTATGGGAGACCGAACAATTATATAAAAATAGTGTCACCTAGCGATTTTGTCGACTACGCCTGTTTCCAATATTTTATTTGTAATGTTAAAAAACAACTCGGCCAACTCGTAATAGCGAGAAGACTGACATGTCTAGTCGCGTGGTTCAATAACTGTATAGGTATGTTGGCATTACGATTACGACGTATTTCGGTTGTGAATACGTATATTAAACACCAATATAGATATCGGGATAAATATTGAAATTTCGTAGAATGAAGTCTCAACTGGCGGTGATTTTAATCGCCGATCGTATGCAACATGATAAAATCACTGTCAATGGGGGCCGTTATTAAATACAGTTGATTATTGCACCGAGTTGGATAACAAACAAAGTTATCGGTTTTATCACAATTATTATAATATCGGAAATAACAATTTACGGTGTTACGTACAGGTATCATAAAAAAGTGATAAAATAATAATAATAATTATTATTGATTATTTATTTTTGGATAAATCTAATAAGTTAAAATACTATCGAACTTCTACATTTCGAAAAATATAAAATGAAAGTAATGAAAGCAATTATACAGAACCACATCCCAATAATTATTAGTTATATTGACGAATTAAGATGTTATAATATATCAATTCGGGGTTATATTCTAGGAGAAATTTGAAATCGTTTATTAATCATACTGTTATTTTCGACGGGAAAATTTATATCGTGTTTACTATTCACGGACCATTATATTTGAAAATTTGAAATATTTAAAAATCGTATTTTATTATTATCATAGAAAACAAAAGTCCCGATAAAACTAATAACGTCTTGAATGTATTATCTTATTTTGTGGTATAATTTGGTGCCGTAATCGACTATTTTATAACGACTCCTGGCCAGTAACGGCCATGGCCACAGCTGACCAACACAATGGGATAAATTTTGACATTTCTTTTGCGGAAATAATAGAAATACAGTCAAGATTTCGATGGCTTATTTACGCATTTTTTTTTTTTTTTCAATACATCAGCAGTTGTTAGAAAATCGATTTTTTTTTCCTTTGTCTACACGAAAACCTTTCTATCCTTCTATCCGCGTTTTCCGCTTCGATTCTAGAACGTCCCGAAATACACGGAAGACTCACAAAGAACTACGAACCAAAAAGTGAAATTCAATCGGTATAGAGTTTTTATCGGATTTTTTTCTCCCGTAGTTTTTCAATGTACGGGAACCATTGCGAGAGCGGGAGGACGGGCGCGTTTCTGAATGAAAGAACTCCGTATAGCTCTTTTCTACATTCAGTATTACTTAATCCCGTATTTTTTATTTCATTTTTTTTTCCAACGATAATCCGCATAATAATCGATTACAATGAACCGCATTGGTTGCGACGGGGACTGCCGTCACGATTTTTCGATACGTCTACCGAAATAACAATATTATACAGATACGAATATAGACATTAAAATAGACCGCAACAACCGGAAATACAATATATTATTGCGATTTTGACGCGGTCGAACGAATGTGACGAGTCTGTGCCGTACCCTTTTACGGGGGTGTTTTATCGCCCCTACTCGGCGTACTCGGTCCGGACCCTTTTCTCACCGTCAGTTATACATATATAACCGTAATCGTAAACCGGTCTAAATAGTCATGAATTAACATAAATACATAATATTATGTTAAATAGTAATATATTATACGGGACCACGTACTTAATATTATAATACGGTGACCCCCCCCCCGCCACCATCCCAAAATCCCTCTTACGGTTTACAGAGATTTCGGGGCCTGGAAGTTTGATACGAAAAATAAAAGACTTGGCAGTTCATAATACCTATACAATGTGTCTTAAGACGTCTGTATAATATTTAAAATTGTAAACTCTGTTAAGAGTACCGGGTTGCGATACCGCCCGTAATTCGTAATTCCGTTTTTCGAAAGGCGAGTCAACTCTTTCCGTATTAATTGCAGCGTAGTTATCAAATGTCACCGCGCATTAAGGGGCTCGGTGCCAACGCGTTTTGTAGCTCAAAACCATGCATTGCTGTAGTAAAAACTCTCACGCCTCATAGAGCGATCTGACGTCCATGGTTATTTTTTTGTTGAAAAGAGGAACACTACAGACCGCACTGAACTCCGTTTTTAAACGTTTTCATCACGAGACTTTTAAAAATGTTTTACCACCGTTGTTATACCTTATTTGATATCAAACGAAAAATCGCAGTTCAAAATAAGATCTATGGACTACTGCTATTTTTTATAAAACGCGATAGCACAAAAAACATTCGAAAAATATAATGTTGACAATGAGTTATCCCTATCCCCGCGCGGTCGTTATCGTCCGTAGCCCTTTCCCATAAATCGGTATCGGGTACTGGGCAGTTGATAAGTGTTAAAGTCTAATTGATACTTATATAACTGCAACTATACTACCTGCAGAAAGTTTATAAACTGTAAATTGTCTGGAGATTGTTACCTACTATTAAACTGAATCTATTTAAAAATAGATAAATACGAAAAATAATTACATTATAATACACTATACCGTGCCCCTCACGAATTTCAAAATTGTTTTTGAAAACACGTGTTTTATGACGCTGATTTTTAAAATACTTGAAAAGACGTGTTTTTTCAATGTTGAAAGTGCGTTCAGAATTTTTTTTAAAATTAATATTTAAAAAGTTACTTGGATTTGAAGACTATGTATTTCATTATAAATAATACGCGCCAGCGATGGTTACGTATTTTTAAAAATGTAATATTATAATAATAAAAAATACGAACAACTAAAGACAGACGCGAAATCACGCCTTCGGTGAATTTCGCGAGCGAACTAGTGAAGTTATCTCATACCAGAATTTCCGATTTGTTAGGCAAAACCTGGTCGGGTAAGGGGTTTGGGGTAACAGGTAATACGAAACCATGGTGGTTCGCAGACCTTCGGTGGGCCACCCATGAATCAAACCATAAAAAAGACAAACATTAAACCGCTAAACATTTATCTATTTATCAACGCATCTTCGACCAACTCCATTCTGCGGATTTAAATAGCAATTAAAGATGTTTTCGTGAGTCGAAATCCCGAAGTTTTTTTTAAAAAAAAAAAAAAAAAATGTTTTGATATTTGCGAGTAGCCTGGTAACACGCACTTACGGCATTATAACGCATGAATCGATTGAAAAGGTAAAACAAAACTGGGTACCTAATAAAACAAATTAAATTATTATTTGCGGTAGATCGCTTACGATAACGAGCTGAGACATCGTCGAAACGGTGAACTGTTCACTACCGATTTTGCCTTTTGATCATGGGTGATGTATCACCTGGATATTCTAATGGACAAACGCACACTGCAATTAGGTGATGTCTAAGCACACGGCATTAGTCTACAGGAAAAGAAAAAAAAAATGAATAATAAATATTCGAAAAATACGAGCCGTCCTCGCACAATTTGAGTCCCTTGTCAATTGAATGAACGGCGATAACATTGGACGCGAGCGACGCACGTGGTGATATTAGTTTGCGACCAATCGTGGCTCGATGTTATCTCGTTAGGGACCCGAGCGGTCGAATCCGGCGGCGTCATTCCCGGGATACCGCAACAGTGTACCCTGCGCAAATGCGTCCAGCGAATTTCTTTTGACGCGTTTGAAATATTGCGCCGATAATCCCGCAGAATTTTCAGAACAATACGGTCCATCGGTTGGAGTACATATATACATACGGATTTTTGGGTGCGAGAAAAAAATGTCGAAACATCGACAAACGTCCCGTAGATTTTTTTTTGTTTTTGCGTTTGCATACCGTCCCAGAAAAACCTCCGTCGTTCAGATTATCAATTTTCCCGCACTCCGACAAGGACACCGTGGATTTCTTTCTTTTTTTTTGTTCATAAATATACGTATATTTTGTACACACGTGTACCGAACAGTTTTTCAATACGACATATTTGTTTTGTCGGATTAGTAATTATTAATATCGAATTTTTAATATTTGGTACTCGCGCGTTTTACATAATTTCCACAGCGCGATCATTAAATTGGTCTACCGAATAACCAAGTTGGAATTACCTACGGAGGTGTACGATAATTCAGTCCTCGCATTTACGTTCACACATATAGGTAATATATAGGTAATTGATAAAAAAAAGAAAAAAACCAAAAATCGTACCTATTAATACACTATAATTTCGCAACGAAATATAAAAGCACGAGCGAACGCGTACGGGCTGAGAATCGAAAATTTGACCGATGGAGAGTTTTCTTGGACGGCAGGTGCGCATGAAAAAAAAATCTACGCGACATTTTTTCGGCATTTCTCGGTCCCGGAAGCCGTACTTCCGATCATTTCGCAAAATGTATTACGACGTAGTAATGTGGTACGCGATCGAAACGTGCGGCTTTACTATTGAATTTTCAATGTTCGTTTTGCGTCTCGCGGAAAAAATGCGAAACGGCACCCCCGGAGTCGAATACAATTTGTTATAGGTGCGCCGCTTTCGTCCGATAATTTACCATTCTTATCACTCGCGTGGGTCATTGCGAACGTTACCGCGTTAACAATAGTGATAGCGACGAATACAAACCGCCCTCGCACGTGCGGAAAACTCTCGCGAGCACCTGTGCACCAGACGATTGCTACACGGGATTGGTGACACTCGGGTACAGGGTAAAAAAGACGGAAAATCGTATTTGGATTTTTTTTTTTTTATAACGCGCGTAGTCCGACATTAAGCATTACTTGTCGGTCTCTAAATACCCATACGACTGTTGATATTATAGTTTTTACCTGGCAGCATCAACGGCGGCTGTGACCCATCGACGACGCGAGATTTTTATTCGCGACTGTTCTGCGGACGACACTCGGGCTCAAAATCCTCTCTAGCCGGATATTACGAAATGTAATTTACAGTCCTCGGGCGTAATAATGATAACAACGGTAATGCCGTACGGTCGAGCGAATAAAATACGACGGGACAACACCGACACACGTTACGTACTGTCCGCGGCGCTTACGTTTGTTTTTTTTCTTCTATTCCGAACGGTTTATACACACACACACACACACACACACGTGACACACGTACGCACGCACGCACGCACGCACACACACACACACACACGCGCGCGCGCGCGGGCGCACACGAGACGCGCGATTGCAAACGCACCGGTTTGCCGGCGGCGGCAACCGGCGCGGAGTGGGGACCGAGATACCGGTTAACCATCACCGCGGTGGCGGTCGCGAGCGGCGGGGGTAACCGGCAGATACGAACGCCAGAGCCGCCGCGCCGTGGCGGGATAATACGAATAATGCGGCGAGAATACCGGACCGGCAACAACGCGGGGGAGCGCGGTTGTACCCGCGCGATCGCAACAGTGATAACGATTTTGTAATTCGCTGTTATTCGCATTACGGTGATAAGCGCGAGCGCGCTTTCCGCCCGGGGAGAACGACTGTTTTCCGAAACGCACTACACAAACTCCCCCGACGCTTTGCCACGTTGTTGCCGTTGTCAGAACGTTTTCCTCGTCTCCCCGGGTACCCGCCCGCACGGCTGCACGCAGGATACGTGCACCGTACGCTCCGAGGAACGCCGAATGGCCACCGCCGAAATTCCCGACAAACGCGATACTGCGAACAAAACGTGCTTATCGACTGTACAACTCTTGTTGCGCGTCGCGTTTCAAATGGAAACGGCCAGATTGCCACCGGGTCTTTCTAACGTCTATAAATTATAACACAATGTTTTTTTCATTTACTACGTTCACGACGCATAGGACAAGTATTTCGCAGGAACGGCGTTATTTATTATTGTGTGTTGCGTTAACCACAATATCAGGAATGCGAAAGTACATTTAAAAAAAAAAAAAAAAATAAAAAAATTCTGTAGGCACCTATTTGTTAGATTGGTATTTTTAAAAGCGCGTAATAAGAGATTCACTTCGAAAAATTGTCCTCTATATTCTATTACTATAAACAGAGACGCGTACTATCCGTTTTCACTACTGAAAATCAAAAGAACCTTACGCTCCGTTTCGCCGAGACACAATTCGCCATGGCGTACTACCCACGAATGTACTATGATGGTCGGATAGTGCGCTTTTATCAGTGAACGCCTACCGCGTGTGTAATACACTCTCCCTCCATCAAAAAAAAAAAAAAAAAAAAAAGCTCCGCGACCAAATAAACCGAACCTGCCCTGTCGCTTTGAGATTTTTCCCGGTCGCCCCTCTCCCGTCTCCCGCCGGTAAGAGTGTTTCGCACTGCGTGTCCGTCATGTGAACACGGGCGGCAACCTCCTTAAAAAAAAAAAAAACAAAAAAAAACGTCCTGGTATACGACGAACGATATTCCCGAACTAGGCGGGCGTGTAATTATAACGGCCCGGCAGTCCGTAGACGTCCGTAGAACCGTCGTCGCCCTCCGTCAAATCGACCATGCCTAGAGCGACTGTATGTTATGTTTTCGCAGTTGTTACGACGGCAGTAAACCTGACCGGTCCACGCGCGTTGACAAAATAAAAATGCGTATAAATAACAGACCGTTAATAGTAAAAAATCGTTATTATTATTATAGGTGTCCACGGCCGTATATAACAATACAATAATAAACAGGGAGAAAAAAAAAAATCAAATCATAATCGTGTATGGGTTCTGTACGGTTCGACAAATTAACGGCATAACAATATTAGTGCCACGGCGTTTTTCGCAATTGTTAATTCCAGACCGCACGCGATCGAGACCTTAATGGAATAATAGGTTTACGAAAGCAATACCTATATTATATTATTGCTGCCGTTTTAATAACGTGTCCGGTCGTGCATAGACTGTTTCCGGCACGAACGCGTTATTTAGGTGTTAATTAATTTTTTTTTTTTAAAAGTCGAATCATAGTGTTATCTTCTTTTCGTACATTGGTAACTTCGGTGTGACATTTCAATCGATGTTTGAAATCCTAAAATCCAGACAAAACCGTGGGAATTGTGATCGACGGATTTCGATTTTGTAAACGTATCACGATTCTCTAGGTTCTTCACTAGGGCACGTTGGAAATCGGAATGCGATAATATATATTTTACTGAAAATCGTAAAAATGCTCGATTGTATTTTTTCAAACATTTCAAAAATGCCATTGAATTATCATGCCTTTTACTTATGACAACTTATTTTAAACGTACAGATCCGAATTAAAAATACATGTGTGCACTCGAATAAATCGTCGAATGAATAATAGCTGGTTGATGATAAAAATAATGGACTATTAATTGGTTCCCGGGTTGTCTGCAAGTAACGTATACTAATTGGTTCCGATGAGCTCTCATAATGATAAAAATACGATAAAAATGTTAAATTAACTTTTTTTAAATTCTTTTTTTTTTTTTTCAAATTATTATCATACACTCAACCAAGAACCAACTACGATGTCATTTCCATTTTACACAGCTTTAAGGCTGGCTGGAATACCTGTAGGTACGGTCAAAAACATTACTAGTCGGTCTACACACATTAAACAAATACAAACAATAATACGAGCTTAAGCTATATGTACGTACTTGGTAATATTACTACTACTACTACTACTAACAATAAAATAAGAAATACTATTTTAATTCAATATCAAACGATATGGTATCAAATAAGTCGGTTGGCTACCATAAATAACATTAAAAGACAATAAATGCGGTATAAATATTTACAACGTCCATTTCGGCGAATTTGAAATTTGAAATTTGGCAGTCTTTCAAATTTTTTTTATATTTTTACCAATTAACTTTTCCTTTTCAGCATTTTTTTTTTTTTGTTTATTATTATTATTTTAATTTAAGCGTGTTTCTTTAGCGTTGGATCTCTTTTAATTGTTCGATCAATAAAAACATAATATTTAGGTTATATACTCTATTTATATTAGATAATATATGTTATATTACGAGAACTTTCCCAGACAATCTCCATACATCATAAACCTAATAAAATACGATAAGATTACAGATTTGTACACATGGATATGAGAACCAATTCTAACAGTCAAATGACGATAAGTAATTTTTATCGGGAACCAATTCATACGCTTTTTTTTTCTGCACCTTGTGGACAACGAAAACTTTATAGTTATTAGATCAAATTGTAACCATTCCTTTCTCTCGTGTTTTACACGAATGTCTAAACTTGTATATCAACGGTTAATGATTATTGTGTTTTTGAGTTTACAATGAACTATTGAGTCAGAGGATTATTGTTTTTGATTAGAAGCAACCGTGCACGAATAATAAAGCATAATGTACGTTTTTATTGTAATATTATTATTTTCGAAGCAACACGATTCCGATTTATGATTTTGATAATAAACACGTAATATTTTGTGAGACATAAAATGTATTGAACAAAAAAGAAAATTTTATTCGAAAATCCCAATTTTAAATAATCGGCAAGGTAACGTATAATAATGCATATAATAAATTGATATAACGAAAAATCTTGCTTCGGACGAATTCTAATTTCGAAGCAGCGAAATTAAAATTAAAAAAAAAAAAAAAAACACTCCTAGTTAATTAATTTATATCCGTAAACAACGATAGGCCATTGCTAACGAAAAACGATTCTTATCAAAGTTCGTTTATACAAGCTCTTCGAAAATTCCTGGATGCGCCGCTAGAGGTATCTATAGTATCTAACAAATAAAAACACGCAATGGATTTTCACCGAATAATTGTCCGAGACAAAAAATATATTATACACAGTTGTTATGAATTTCAAAGGCCGAAAACCGCCTCTACCGTGCGGCGATTCATTGTTTACAAAAAACAATGAGAATGAGTGCATTTTATCCTGTTGTCGAAACAAAATATTGTACAAATCGCATTACGGTGCAGTCATTCTCTATGGCATAACGGCGTTTAATTGTTATCGCCTATTACAATACAAAGCTAGGCTAGTTATAGGTGTAGGTAACTACAGAGAAAAATCACACATTCTACCAGAAAGAATATTATTACACGCGCGAAAATTAATATTTTGTTATTATGATTTATGTGAACGCGTGCCGAACGTTTAAAATAATAATAATTATTATTATTTTTAAAGTAATGTTTTTTTTTTTTTCCAAACAATTATGAATAGTAAATACATAATACATATCAAATCGCACACGCAAAATTACATATTATTTGAATTTAAACGTACTATAATAATGTTTAATAATATAGGGACGAATTAAAAATTTTTTTTTTTTCTCATGAGAATCATGGTTATCGGAAACACATATTTAGGGCCAATTTCCAATGTTTTATTCCTCATAGTACGCGCATACGCAATAAAAGTTACATTCAATAAAATAAGAACACAAAAATTGTAAACATATATCGGAACGCGTTTCGTATACAAAAACGTAGGTACGTACCTACGTAAATACAGAGAAAAACCATTATATTATTATTATTTTTATCGAAACGTACTAGACACTATAAAATATTGTACAAGGTAAACTTCGCCCGAGACGTAAAATGCAGTTTATTATAAAAAAAAAAAAAAATGAGATTGTCCAGTCTGCGTCACGTGTTACAGTTTGAATAATAATTATAGTGCCGATGTATAATTTATATTATTTTATACAATAGGTATAAAGTATAATAAATATTATATACCACAATCAAATATTTTTT